GTCCTTCCTGCTGGACGGGACCCTTCGGGTCACATCCCAAATGTGGGGAGGGGGAAGAGAGAGGGAAGGGGTCCCCCGGGCGCTGACGGCGGTCTCTCCTCTGCTATGCCCCTCTAGTTTGAAGAAGACGCGGAAGAAGCTGGAGGGGGCTTGGACGGCGGGCAAGGCAAGAGGAAGAGGCTGTTCTCCAAAGAACGTGAGTCGAGCCCGGCCAGAAGGCCCACCGCCGTACTGACGGGTCTCTTGCTGCAGAGCTCACTGTAGCATTGTTTTAAGGACGATGGCATTCCCCCCAACGCAGCTGAAAGTCTGAGGAGGCAGCTGTGGAGTTACAAACCTGTTTTCCTTAGCAAAACTGCAACTTCCATTCTGCACCCTGGCTGAAAGTGCAGAAAGCTGTTGTGTAGGCCCCCTAAAAAACATTGCTAATTCATTCTCTGAACCTAAGTGTGCCAATGGTCAGTCACACCGTCAGTCGATGTTCAGTAGTTGGTAGGCTAAATGCATATTTAAAGGGTGTCATTTGACATGCTTTTCTGTATATACAGCACTAAGCTTTTTTTGCCTTCTGTCTAGCTGCTTATTTCCTGTATGTTTGCTCAAGAATCATCTGGCCCAACAGACAAGAGTGCCATCCTGATGCATGAATGTGTGGGCTCTAACTAGATGCATGCAGCTCAAATGGATGAAAGAAGCCTCATGCTGAGTGTTTCTTTCTGCAGTAAGATGCATGATGTATGGATTCGGGGATGACCAGAACCCTTACACAGAGTCAGTGGACATTCTTGAGGACCTGGTAATAGAGTTTATCACAGAAATGGTAAGTCAGCTCTAGACAGTGCTGTCAAAACATCTTCAACAAAGATTAATACCTCTGACTCAAATACTGCATTATCCCAGGCCCAAAACGTGATGCTAGTAGGAAAAAGCTAAACTTAAACTCTGTTCCTCCAAGATTAAGGCAAAAGTCATGCATCTTGCTCCATGTGGATTTAAAATGGTGTCTTAATTCCTTAAGCTCAGTATTGGGAGGGAGGGGGGAAATACACAACTGATCTTGGGGTTTACTGTGGCATCACTGTATATGTAGCTGACAAAAGAGAAGACTCAGCTTTGAAAGTCTGTTGACTTTTTGTGTTCTTCCAGTGTCTTTACATGGGAATGTAGCTCTGCACTACAAAAGAAATGCAGGTGGGGCTTGAAGCCATCCATCACTCTCTCAGATAACTGGATACTGTTTGAAAGTTTGTTTAAAAACAAAGCCACACCAGTTATTCTGACTGTTTGCAGATCCCTTTTCTTTGCAAGGCTGGCCTTGATTTCTCTGCATCAAAATGCCCTAAACTGACCTGTGATAGTTACCTCGCATTGCTTCCAAGTTCTGCCTGATGCTGTTCACCTTCAAGCACTCTGCAGGCTGGGTGTCCTACATGTAATCTGACTTCAGTTTTGATGCTGTTACTATTACATCTATATAGTGGTATGTGCTGGGTATAAGTGACAAGCAGCCAAGGACAGCAGAGCAACAGTAAGTCCATAGTTTACTGGGAAGTTCTCTTCTGACTACAGTGATGGTGCCCAGATCCTGCAGTTGCTTACTTTTTGATTATAAAGTGGCAAGAAATAAAGTGGAATTGAGAGCTTGCTTAAAAAAGAACTAAGGGGCAAAGGAACTCTGACTTTTCTTTCTGTCCCTAACAGACACACAAGGCCATGTCAATTGGGCGGCAGGGTCGTGTACAGGTTGAGGATATTGTGTTTCTCATACGCAAGGACCCCCGGAAGTTTGCCAGAGTTAAAGACCTCCTAACTATGAATGAAGAACTGAAACGAGCCAGAAAGGCCTTCGATGAAGCAAACTATGGCTCCTAATTCTGTGCACAAGCTGCACTGTGGCATTACCTGGGCACCTGCTGCCCAAAAGGAAGGAACATCATGCATGGTGTTTGGAGGGACTATTCAGGATGGAGGTCACTGCTGGGATGTCTGCCCTTACTCACAGCCTTTTCCAAGAAGTGTTCAAGCAGCTGGATGTTACCTGAATGTATGTGGTATACCTGGGTATTTTTGTATTGGTTTATGAATAGAGAAAAGAGCTCTAACAATTCTTGTAATGGCAGGAAGTCTGAAGTAGAACTGTGTTGAATCAGATATCTAAAGGGCTAATTATGTGTGATTCTCTGCAGCTGTTTGTTATCACTGGGTATTCCTGTGACAGGAAACCTAGAAAATGGATCTTGGCTAACTAGACAAAGTCTTCAAGCCCAAACTACTACAGGAATTCTGCTATTTGCTCTGTATATGCTCTCTGAATAAACCATTTTAAGTTTGTGCCGACTTCTCATTAACTAAACTTAATTGATCAGTTCATACAAGGTGCGTAATACAGGGGCTTTTATCACTTCTTTGGCTAGTAAGGTTATTTTTAATTCTGCCCCAGCAGGCACAGCTCTTCTGTTTTCTGCCAGTATTAAGCCTAGAAAATTGCAAGTAGATCTGGAATAGGTTAACTTCACTTCGAGCATTTCCTTACCCATCGTTGACAGGTGCTCTACAACAAAGCAGATTCCTGTTCTGCATTTGGGGACATTTTTTTCTTAGTATTTCCTGGTGATCCTGATCTTGGGACTTAGTTACAAGAGCCTGGCAGAAAGCACCAGCTCCATTGCTTGTTCTAACATTATTTCATAAATACATGTCAGAGTAGCTGTGCCTTATGTTGCCAAGCGGGCAGAAGTTGTACTTTGATTAAAAAGATTTCAGGACAGTGAGGAACACATTCACCAGTCAGAAGTTTACTGTTGCAGGCCATGGCTGTGCTTTCCCCTGTTTCTGCAGCAGCTCAGAGGCAGTAGGTTCAGTTAATGCCTGGTTTCAGAACATGAGTAAGTGTTGAACAACAGTAATACTGCAAGTCAGGGCTGTCTCCTACACAAGCAGTATAGAAAGAAGGGTGTAAGGATGCTTCCTTGGAAAAGCGGCGGCAAATCTTTTGTCTTAAGTAGCAGGAAGTGATCAGCCTGTGGATTTCACAGCAGCACTTAAAATGTGCTTGAACAATAAAGGGATACTGAGTAAGGATAACAAACTCACTATTCTGGGTCAAGGCTAGGTGAAAGGATGATGACTATTCAGCTGTTAGGAACACCCTTCCATAAAAAAAAAAAAAAGCTGTTTTACAAAACCATAATAAACCAGTTGCCCCTTTCTTAGCAGAATTCAGAGTGTGAGTCACCAAGACACCATTAGGGTTATGATGGTTTTACTTACTTAAAAAAAATTTATATACACGAGTGGAATGACTTGACCCTTTTCCTCCTTGCACATCCAGCATCAAACACCTATTGTTGCAAAAATAGAATCAATATCCATGTTCTCAGTAGATTCTCTCCACACAGGGCCAGGGCTTCCTTGTAGTAGCAGCAGCTGCTTAGGGGTCTCTGCTGCGCTTAGTCTGACACAGCCTCTGTCAGCACTGGAATGTCCTGCCCAACTCAGAGGCCCATCCTGGTAAGCTCGGAGAATGGGTGATACACTGTTGTCACGGACTCCAAAAATCTCAGGAGGTTTTTGCCAAACAGTCTTCAGAGTTCTCTTCGAACATGTGGATGACTTGAACCTCCTTTGACAGAACTGTGCCCGGAAGTGCTGCTTTGGCCAGCATGCCTTCTGTGACCCATACAGGAGGTATTTACGGACAGATGTTTTCACACAGCAGAGTTTTTTCTTCAAGCTTAAGGGGAGGAAGGTGCACAAATCATAACTTTATCAGCTGCTTCATTTGGGGTTTGGAGAAATTTGGTTTATTAGCCTTCTTTACCATTTTCCCAAGAAGATACAATAGCACCTTGTTGTACTTTTGTACAATAGTAGCCAGGGCATTCTGAAGAAAGACAACACCCCTTGCATCATATCACTGTTACCATTAAACATGCAGATGTCTAATGTTAACAATTTAAGCTGCATTTTCATCCTCCCTCTTAAGCATTGGGTGCATCTGTTAGCCTTTAAATCCTTTCACAAATGACAGGAGCTAAACACAATGTTCATGTCACAGCATGCAGTCACCTGAACTAGTGATCCCGCCTGAATTTACAAAGAATGGGTTAGACCACTGTGTTTCCCTATAGTGGAGCAAAATACATAATATTAAAATGTAAAGTGTCGCGATCCAGAAGCCCCACACCCATGCAAAATTACCTGTATCCTTGAGCCTCCACATGGTGCAGCCGGTTGCTTTTCAACAACTTGTTACGCAGAAAATAAACTTCTGGCTTGAATTTGTTGCCTTTGCACCACAGAATAACTTTTCTGAGCGCCTCTGACAGCTCCCCAAATGACGTAGCTGTTTGGACCATCTGTACAAGAGATCCAGCATGCTCCAGTTTCGCTATCCGAGAGGAAAGTGATGCAGACTTTGCTTTAAAAGGTGCTGATGCAATGCTTCTACCCTGAAACAAAGAGTAACAGAAATAGTTAAGTCTTTTAAAAACATGACATGCCTGACCCTGTCTGCTGAAGCAGAGCAGAGCACCAAGGTTTTTGTGAGAACATTCCTTACTTCCTAAGGAGAAAGTGGAAGAGCAGTCTTGTTTTGTGGGATACAGCAAGAAGCAGGTAATTCAAATTTTTATTGCTGTCTACTACTGGCTTGCTTTCTGGTCATTTCACTTGACATACCAACAAATGCTCAAGTTCCTAAGCAGAAATTAGTAGTGATTATCTGTGCAAAGCTTTCATGCTAACTTGGCTTGTTAGACAAGCAAAAATAAGGCAGGGAAACGGACATTTTCAATCAGGGTTATCACTTTGAGAGTTAGGATCTTTAAAAACAAACAAACAAACAAACAAGCAAACCAAAAAGTGTAAAATGCTACCATACAAACCTCTTGTGCTGGAGGTCTGGATGGTCTAAGTAAGCTCTTCACATCAAGCCCCAGGTGCTTCCCTATGATGAGAGGGGAGAGTTCCCATTACAATGTAAAGACCGTTTTAAGTCTTTGCACAGACACTGCAATACTCTCAGCCCTGCTAAGCTCTCAGATATACTGCTGCCTCAGCAGGCTCATACCTGTACTCAGCTCTTCAAGGGGACTACACGCAAGGGATGAAGAGGATGCAGAGATATACAGATGACTGCAAAGGAGAATTTAATGGGCAAAAGCTCCATGCAAACACCTGGATGCCTGGAGTCACTGCCCACAACCCTGACTGCAGGGGAACACTTGCGCACAGCCTAGAAGCAGTAAGCACAGGATACCTGCATCCTGTATTTACAGCTTTATCTACTCTTGTATGAACTGCAAACAATGTTCTTAGCTTCCCTCACTATCTTTGGGCCCTATCTATGAAGAAGCAGGAAAATACAAATAAATATTTATGAGACCAGTATACTGCATTCATTACCTGCTTCTCTGCAGGCTTTGCTATGAAACAATGTATCATTAAACATAAAACAAAACCCCAAAATGTTACAACCAACATTATCCACATTTATAAAGCAAGGGTGCATGCCACATTCTCCTCTTCTTCCAAGGACAGCAGAGGGGAGTTCTTATTAGAAGTGCACTCTGTGGCTAGTAGCAGCGCTTGGCTCTGTTGGTCAGAAGTTGGGGTCAGTCTCAGATGCCAGAAACCAGTAGCACTGTGGCACAAGGCCTTACCTCTGCTGGCTCCAGTCACCAGAACTGGCTCTCCGACGTCCATGCAGCACTGCATGCTACAGTTTTTCACAGCACTCCTGCAGGTCACAGAATTTCTCTTTTTCCCAACCTTTGACACTGCCTCTGGCATTGTTGGGAAGAACTTCTTCATCCAGCTGGTAGATTTTTTTGTTGTAAGCATTCTAGCCTTTTGCTTCTTCATCTCAGAAGAAACATTAACTCCAAGGAAGTTACAGATATCAGATGGGAAGGTAAACCCCCTGATGTAAGGTATCTGTTGCGTCTCAGATACCAGATGAAGTGATGCTGATAACGTGCCATACAAGGACATAAGGCTCTGCAATACACACCTGTATTGAATCCTGAAGAGAGAAGACAGAAAGGTATGGAGTCTCCTCTAGCAAAACCTTGTGCTCACTGAACAACTAACTTCAGCTCAAGCAGAGACCTGATGGAAGAGATTCCAAGCTGCCCCTTCCCTATTCCCCCTCAGTACAAGCTTATCTTGTATTCTCCCATCACCACACTTTCCTCAATGTTAGCCTGACCATTAATGAACTGTTCAAGATCAGAAGCTAGAAGTAACTTCACTCATAAATTCCTGATCAGGAGCCGCTCTGCTTCCCTGGAGCTTTGCTGAGTGCCACACCTGGAACTCATCAGGTAGTCAGGTCACAGCCAAATCACTTGACGTGAGGTCTTCCCCAAAAGCAATCTGTACCACCTCGGTACAATAGTACAAGTACTGATGCCATACAATCGCTTACTTGATGTTTACTGGGGAGACAGATTTCTTTTGCCAAAGAATGTTTTACTGAGTTCTTTACATAATGCTGTTACTCCTTCACTACAGACAGCAGTTACTTCCTCAAACTGAGAGACCCCAGAACACGTATTTTCCTGGAAAACTCAGCAATATTATAGAACAACTTTATGCCGGCCTTTCCATTTCAGGTTGAGGCAGGACTTGTGCCTGCTGCAGAGTTAGCCTTTGTGGCAGGTTGGCATTAACGCTAAGATTTCATTAGTACTACATAACATACGCTATGAACCAAGAACAAAGCCTTCTGTAACAGCATGTAAGAAGTCTCCCTCCACTTATACAACTCTTCAGGTGCTAGAATCAAGTCCAGAAGAGTGGAGAGACCTCCCCTCCTCCCAGCTGAATAAAGCTCACTCAGCAGCAAGGACTAATTACAAGCCCTCTCCCTGACAGGCACATCAGACAGACAACAAACAGACTTTTGAACACACAAACCATAGCCGGCTCAACAACCCTGAAGCCACAGTGTTCAAAAGTATGAATTCTTCTGAGCAGAGATGTTTAATGGACAAGCTGAAGATTATACCAGTTAAGGATAAAAAATAAACAGCATGTAATGAAACTTGCTGAACACACCGACTAGAGGCAATCCACAAGGCAACATCCTGGATAATTTGGGAGATGAGTATTCAAATTTTGGGTTGCTCAAGGCCAGACCAGCAGCCAGCCAACAGCACAAGGTTCCTACATAGTAACTTGAAAATAAGGTGTTGGCTATCAAAGAAACTTCAAGTTGCATGTATGAATTGCACAGTTGAGTCCATCAGCAGTACAGGGCCTAAAGCAGCCTGGTTTTGGTCTCATGAGGTGCTTCTGGTGAATTCTAAGAACATTTTCACTTTGAAAAAAGGATACAGAAAAGCTTTACAGCAACAGTCCAGTAGACGTAGTAGGAGCTTGCAACCTCCCAGCACCTTCAGAGCCACTGTTTCCAGTACAGGCTGGCTGGGAACCAAGCACTCTGCATTGCCTTGGGATGCCTTTTTCCTGTATTGACAGCACAGGTGAGGAGATGGTTATGATCTAGCATCCCATCCCTTTAGCTCTGCAGACTCTTACTGGATAGTGTATATATATATATAGGGGATGACAACACTTACCTGGGTATCAGTTCTGCCAGAGTTTCAATGCAGCCCACCAAGTTCATTTTCCATAGGCGCTTCAAGCATTGTTCTACCTAGAAAAAAGAAAACCCCTTTGACTAGCATTTTGAGAGACAGAAGCGCATTGGGCTAAGAACCGTCACTGTATTAAGTGACATTTTCCCTTTATCAGTTTAACAGAATAAATTGCAGGTCTGCATTATGGAATATTCCAGTATGTTCCTGTATCTGCACTATGATGAAAAAGTTCCCTTTAATGGAAAGTTGGTAGAGTTCTTAAAACAGAACATGCCTAATAGAGCAGCCTAGGATTATTCTCCCCTTCTCCCATTATTACAATTTATTGAAAATGAAATCCCTACATTACTCTATAGTACCCAATATTATACGCAGCCTATATTCAAAGGTATGCAATTGTATCTACTTCAGGCCACAGCACGAGTATAAAAAAACAAGTATTGGTTCCAGAGAGCTGGAAAGCCGAAATTGCACTGGCTGCACGGAGCCAGGAATCCCACTGAACTAAACCGTGAGGAAGCTTAAAGACATCAAAATCGCGCCTGCTCCATAACACTTTTCGCACGATGCACCACGCATCAAGCACCACCCCAGGGGACTGGTGATTGGGGTCCGGAGTGCAGCCATCAGCCGCCAGGTACCTGCTGCCCAGCCAGGGCCGCTCCTCACCTGCTGCAGGGCC